AAAAAAAAAAAAAAAAAAAAAGTGTCCTGCGTCTGCTGTCCTCCTGGGATAGGAGACACTGCCTAGACCCTGGGTGACTGGAGGGCCTGGCATTCCAGTGAAGTGGCCAGTTTAGGCAGGGGTGGCCCAAAAGCTTCCCTGCGAGGTGTAACAGCCGGGCTCCAGGGGTCAGGGAGAGGTCTGGGAGTGTCCAGAGCTACTCAGCCTCCTGGCCAGAGGCACTGAGCCCAGGCAGTTATGATAGCCTCCATCACCTTAAGGAGAAGTGCAAACTGGAGGACCCAGCATGCCCCAGGCATGGTACTAATTCTTAGTACACATGACCTGACTAGAGACACAAGCACCCTAGACATTGAGTCTGTTCTTCCCATTTAGTGGGGGACGTGGAAGCAAGACACATTCATTTGTCCAAAGTCGTCAGGCCAGAAACAGCATCACTCCAGCCAGAACCTAGGGCTGCCTTTGCCCAATGCTGCTTTGCTGCTGCAGGAGGCCTAAGCTGGAATAGAAATGCCTCGCATGACTTGAGAGCCGTTTGTTCCCTCCGTGCTTGTAAACCTGCCCCCTGACGGTTCGACACAACCACACGGCCCGACTGACTTGTAGAAAGTGTTTGCTAAGGGAAAGTCAGCTTCCGCCCTGTGGTTCTGAATCAGCACAGATCCGGACTTTAGGTAGTAAGTGAATGAGACTTTGCTCGCTGTGGGAATCAGTAGGGACAGAGATAGAGATGGAGGCAGGGACAGTGATAAGAGAGAGCTAGATGGGTGGGGGCAGGTGGGAGAGGGAGGAGCCTACAGACACGCAGAGAGGAGTGAAATCCACTGGGAAAGACCAAAGCCCACGTGTAGAGAGAACGGATGAGCGCTAGGCTCCTGGAGGATACTGCGTAAAATGGAGCTTGGAGAGTTGAGTTGAAAGGGGCTCCACGAGAACGTCAGATTTCCAAACCTATGTGCAGGAAAATCTAAAACACAACAGTGCTGTGGGGAAAAAAGGGAATTTTTTTGTGAGGCCTTGCTGTGTGCCTGTCACCCTGCAGGCATTGCCCCTGTGTTCCTGAGGCGCCCAGCCATGGGGGAGGTAGGTGGCGCAGCCCCATTTCACAGAGGGGGCTGCGGCTTGGAGGTGGGTGTGAGGTGCCTCTGCGATTGCTGTCGGGTGGCTTCGCTGTCAGCCCAGGGCCCTTCTGTTCATCGTGTTTGTTCCCTTCACTGTAATAGACAAGAGTTAATAGCGGGCAAGTGGCTTCCTGGGTAGAGACAGAGGACTGAAAAGGGGGTCCTATCTGATGTCAGCTCTGCAGTTGAGACAGTGTGGCTTGGGGGCAAGTAAGTCTCTTTCTCTTTGTCATCCTTAGCTTCCTCATCTATGAAATGGGGAGTTCCGATGAGCTGGGGTCAAGGTCTTTTCAAACTAAACACACACACACACACAGACACACACACACACACACACACACACGCTTTTCTATCTATCCATCTACTGATATATCTATCTGGAGAATGTGAGTGAGCGTGTGCACACGTGGATGTGTGTGTACGTGCTCTGAGTCTTTCCCTGCACTTCTGGATATGCCTGGGTTGTTCCCAGTGTCTCCTGTAGCTCTCAGAGGCTGTGTATGTTTCTGGCCCCTCCTTCTCTGTCAGGGTCAAGTGTGTGGCCTTGGTGTGGTCTGAGGGCCAGGGCATGGCACTGTGTCCTGGAGTCAGCCTGGTAAGCTGAATCCCAGGCATCACACAGACCAGAGATTCAGGTCCCGGGGTGAAAGTGTTTGCCTGGACCTCAGGCCTGGCCTGGCTTAGGCTGGGGATGGTGGGGAGGTGTCTCTATGCCCTTCATCCTTCCCCTCACCTACAGGACTCCTCCCTCAGGCCTCTCCTTCCTTGGAGCCTCATGGCCTGGCTGACCCTCAGGTCTTGGACTGCTCAGGGCCAGGGCCTCCGACTGCTTCATTTGGAAACTCTAGAACTCTGCCCAGAGCCTAGTATGGAGTGAACACTGATGAATAGCTGAAGAATGAGTGAATGTTGAACAGACACATGAATGCTTTGCCTCGGGGTTCTGATGACGTCCTGATGAAGCACCCAGGACCTCATGGTGGTCCTCACCCCTCTTGCACTTGTTAATAATCGTGATTTTGCAGGCAACCTTTCCGGGCACTTGTGATGTGCCAGCCACACTGCTGTGTCTCTCAGCAGTGTCTTTGGTTAGTGAG